TTTGGATGAACATGTAAGCAATGAACATTAAAAATCTGAAGATAATTAACCTTTAAACCTGCTGCATGGTAGTTCCACTCATCACATATATGATATAATAAGTTTACTGGAAAAAACTTCAGATACATGCCATATTCTTTGAGAGCAAAGTCAGTGAAGCAGTGGCACAGGAGAAAAAGTGATAACGAGTAAAAAAGAACCAGATATTTAACACAGAGAAAAAATTCATCAGATGCACTAAAGTCATTTAACAATCGTAGGGACTATGCAGTTCAAATAAGTTTTCCATCGTAAATGTAATTAATTTGCTATTGCTAATAAAGATAATACAATTAAATACTTTGGAACGATATTTTACAAAAAATATATTTTAATTTTTATTGAATAACTTTGAAATAAAGTTTAATTAAAATACTATTAAAAATACTATTAAAATTAGTTTCTTTAATTCAGAAATATTCATAATATTGCTATATTCAGAAATATTGCAACAATTGTTCAGATTATCGTGCCGTTACTGTATAAATAAATAGTAATTACATTAACTTTAATCAATTCGAAACATAAAACATAGCATACTTTAAGGGTTAGAGTGAGTAATTCAAATTTAGATTTTTTTTTGACTGTTCAAAATAAAAGAAATAATCGATCTCAAAAATAGTTATTTACCAGCATCAAGAAGAATTGGTAACAATATTTTTTCTATATAATTTTTGCTTTGCTAGTTTAGCTTTTTTAATTTATAATTTAATACAATTTCTATTATTTAAGGCTGATTGTTGTCCTTTAGTGCTGTTACCTAGCATTTCTTTTTTGTTCTATTTTTTTTTTTATTATCTTGAGAGTATATATGTCTAAGAAAAAAATTGATATGTAGGTAAGCTTGCCTTATATAGTAATTGTTACTACAGATTTCCTGAACTCTTTCTGGAGAATGGGACCAGGACTATTATAGCTTATGAAGTAAATACTGCATATTTTACAGTACAGATTACAGATTACAATAAAATCTACTTCTCTAAATATGGAAAACCGAATTTAATAGCATTCAGGTATTGTGTAAAATCGATCTATTTTAATCCAATATTAGAAGAATTCCTAATATTGGAATTCTTCTGATGAAGGCAACAACACCAGCACCGAAAGCACATTTCATTTAAGCAAATTACACGGAGCTGAAAAAAATAAAACCCTGCTGTCTGGTGTGATCTGGTGATGTTAATGTTATATGAACTTTTTAAAAATTGACTATTTCAACTATTTCTAGAAAAGCTGCGTTAATCAATATCCACATTGCATTCTTCTCCTAAGTTTTAATATTTATTAATCTCTAATTTCCGAGTTTTTTCTTCTCCTTTCACAACCTATCTACATATGTGAAGGTTTAAAAGTAATGTCGATGCCTTTCCATGGATACTTTTAAATATTGTTTAAATAAACAGCTAATTATTGAGACAACTGTTCGGTTCAATAAATATTTTTCATTTTGCCAGACATAGTCAAAACTTATAGCTTTTTAATAGACTTGAATGTTCCTCAAATACCGGTCATGGCATATAATAATCGTACAACATTTCAAAGAACTGAAGAATAAATAAAAAATTGATTTTTTTTATATTGTTTTTTTTATATATTTTTTTTTATATCTTTGATATTTTCCTAACACATAAAATATTCATAATATTTTTACTGTTATAAGTAGTAAGTGTGGTCTGTAGTACTTGAGATACGCTTCTACCAGATGGAGAGTATATGTATATAATACAAACCATTCGTTGCTTATTAACTGTATACTTTTAGGCTTTAGTGTAGATTTTAATTTGTTATAAACAAATGCTATACTATTTTTTTTTTGTTTGAATGGAAGAAAAACTCGAAAGCCTAGTCAGTGGTGGATTTCAACTGCTCTAAAAACTCTCCTCGTTTTGACGGAAAACTCCTACACGAACCACCATTAGGTAATACATCTGAAGGCTATCCTAAAGTTGTGAGAGTCCATTAGCGTAATTTTGACACAAATATTATTAGCTAACTGAAGCCATCAAGGTTTTTAGGAGTGCATAAAGCCACGGATATTAATACAGGTAATCAATCATATTCCTAAAAACATTTAATATTCCTAATGTTTCGATGTCTTCTCTTTGGGAAACGTTTTTTTTATGACCCTAAAACAGGCTTCAACTGCAGTAATTACCATAATTCTATATTGGAACTTACTTTTAATGGATTCTTATTTAACGAATGTAAGAAAGAAGTAGTCACTGAAAGTCAAAACCGGAGAATACAATGGGTGAGGAACAATTTCAAATGAAGTTCGTAAAGTTGTGGTATTGCTATAGTCGACTTGTGACATGGAACCATTAAGAAATAGCATACAAGAGACATATGCTATTTCATCATTTGGAATCATTTTCCTACTATTCTATCCTTTAAACACACCCAAACCGTCACATTATATTTGGTATTATTTTTTTTTCTTACTTAAGACATTCCATGAATGAAATTGTCATTTAAATATACTAAATCTCTTATTGGGAAAAATTAAATACGTCAATCAACAACAAAATATTATACATCTAGTCCGAAATATACTTGAAGTATTGGCAAATATCTCACTAACACTATGCAAATTTATCGGAATCCAAAACCCAATATCGAATTATGCGGATCTTCTTACCTCCAAAGTTTTAACCATTTTCGCCAAATAAAATAATATATTTGATTTTTTTTATTTTGAAAAGTTTTAGCTCTTTAATTTACTAATTGACAGTTATGGTTAAATAAATTGTTGTTGTCTTTTGTGACTGGGGGGCTTATCCCTGCCCCACAGTAAGCTTTAACTATACTAGAATTATTATCGTTTATTTATCTTTTAACTGATGACGGACCATAGGTCAGCATATCTTTTTGTGTGCCCTGAGGTGTACTTAAGGTTTGTTAGGGAGGGTTGGGCAACGTATCGACATTTGTCAATAGTTGTAGGGCTCCGTCCTACGCCGGTTAATCTAAGTTTTGAAGCATTACTCAATTTTTTAATTATTTATATATGCATTTAGAGTGTGGCAGCATATTTGTTCACTTATCGTCTCATATCAAAGTATCTGCATATCACGAAGGTACTGTGGCTCGTAAGAGGTCAGTTAATTAATATCTCAAGTTGCAAGTGTTGGATAGTTTGATTATCCATTGTTCAGTAAATTAATTGTGAGCGCATTAATCGATGAGTGCAGATAAGCAAATGGTCGCTAATTGTTATAGAAACGTTTGACGGTTATTGAATAGTTTACACTCAAAGGAATTTAAATGGACTTCGAAGTTGGTTTAATATAAATAATTTAATTGAAATATACAAAATGAAAATTGTTAGTTATTATTTTCTTCGTTTATTTTCTTAATAAAAAGAAAATTTATAAAAAAAGTATTCTTCAGAAAAGGTTAAAGAGAGGATATAAAATGAGTAAGCAATAGTTTTTAATAATAAGTATTTATAATATTTTTAAACATCTATTAGGAATAAGGTAACCCGTTTGTTCATGTATTGATGTAATGGGGACTTAATCCCAAGTTATAGCCCTGAAGAATATTGTATTGAACTTTGCATCTATATTCACTCCATCTTTTCATTGACCAATCTATTCATGTAGAATATATAAAATCATTACATTACAACCCCGACTTTGAGTCAAAAAATTGGTCAGAAAAATCCATCGATATAAATAATTCGTGTTTGTCAGTGTGCTAAAAATTTTCGGTATCAAAAATGTCATTTAAAATGAAAATTATTTATTTTTTGAGATACTCTACTGCAATTCCATGATGATGGTTTGGTTATCGACAACATCGCCAAGCCATCTTATACACAATGTTTAGATAAAGCAAATGCGAGATTCGTAATAGCATCGATCTGGCAATATAGCTTATTATAAAGGTATCATATTAGTGCTTAAAGGGTCAATAAATTTTTCGAAACATTTTTCGTTGAAGTCTGGAGTGATAAGTAGATAATCGCTTTATCAACAGTGGTGGTGCATAATTTGAATGGGTAAATAAATTGCCAGAGTCCCAGTGCTAAGGTAAGATACTGAAAACTCTGTACTGTTTCAAAAGCATTTTTAATCTATGATATTTTAGTTAATAGACGATTAAAACTTAAAATGCCTACACACCATTACTGAAGATAAGACAGTCAAAAATAAAGTTTCTTATAATGAATCTCGAATATTAAGTAGGAGATCAATTTTTTTTAAAACTAAAGACCAGGTTAATAGTTTATTTATTTGTTGTATAAAGAAATTGGCAACCACTCCATCTCCATTAAGCAGGTGTTATGGTTCCTGAAATTGTATTATCGAAACAAAAATAATAAATAAATTATATATAATTATTAATATGAATATGACAAAAATAATATGTATTAATAAGTAATTATGAGAAAACCAATTAACTGAAGGTGTTTTATAAATCCAATAAATACAAATTAATTCCATTCTATATATTTCCAATTAATAAACTATTACTAACATTTTGTTCCAGGGTTTCAATTTGTTAACAATTTATATTAGTTGAAAACCTATCAAATGCTAATTGAATGTAATATTCCAGATAAATTTAAATACTTGCAGTTGGTAAAGCTTTAGCAGTTCGCGTTCGGAAATGTCGAGAGCAACATCAGAAGCACCTACTTTGCTCCCCAGCTTCAGGCTAATTTTCTACATTTGTAAATTTTTCGGTGTATATCCTCATGACATCAGGACATTTAAGAACGAACTGAAGCTGAAATCATCGCAGTTTGGAAACGTTGTGGTCATCTCAACTATGGTTGCAGTATGCGCTCTGTTCGTTGTGATGATAATACAGCTCAAGGATGTTTCGTATCGCCTTCAGCAGAGTAAATTTAAAATATTTTTTTGGCATAAAAATCACAACGAATTTATTTTATTTTAGCTAATTTTAATTTTATCATTGGTTTGTTGCTATCACACGTTGGCCCCATATCCATGATGATTGATCAAATTTCTGCGGTGAAGAACCAAAATCGGCTCGGTGGATTTTTCAACAGACTCCAAGCTTTGGATCAGAATTTGTTAGAGCAAAGCATCCACATCGATAATCGCTTGATAACATTACGCATACGTTTTATGGTCGCATTGGCTGTAATCTTTGAGCTCTCGATTTTCACGTCGACGTACGTGCTTTTGTTGGACTACACCGAGTGGATTTCGCTATTCTGGATTTTTTCGCGAATTCCTGAGATTTTCAATACGTTCGATAAAATTTGGTTTTTGGCTTTGTTGGTGGCTTTGAAGCAGCGATTTACTGCTCTGAATGAGACATTTGAAGAGCTAGCGGAGCGGCATGAAAAATTCAAAAATATTGGTGTTGTTTTAAATCCCAAAGGATTTGGAATTGTAAATACGACAAGTGTTGAAAATAAGCTTTTGCAAAGCCTTCACGGCAATAGCAATAAAGTCTTTCCAAGTGAGTAGTTTTATTTTTATTGCTTAGAGCAAATAGTTATTATGTTTTATTAAATACTAAATAAAGAGACTTAGCTTTGCATTAACAGTCTTAAAAATCATACTAGTTGCTTATTTGTTATTTAATGCTCTTCATATTTTAACAGCATTTAATGTATTTTAATTTCAGAGCCCGACAATAACTTCGGTCATTTTCAAAAGAGATTTCATAGCTATTTCGCTAACGAATTGAACGATTTTGAGCATACGAAAATCAAATTTTCAAAGCTATGTCAACTTCACGATGGTATTTGCAGTCTAGCTCAAGAGTTAAGTGAACTATGGTGCTATCCAATGTTAATACTTATGGCCTATGGTTTCTCAACATCAACCGCTTTATTGTATTTTTATTACTGTGCAAGCGAAAGCCAGGTAAATAGTTTTTAAATTTAGAAATGGCTTAGTAACATATCATGTTAAAAAGAATTATTAAGCCTTGTTTGGCGTCACATGACTCCAAGCTGCTTCTATACTGTTATTTCGTTGAGCATAGACCATTGACTTGAATGTTATCTGGTCTTTGACTTTTTATCATCTCTTCTCGGCTGCTAACACGCATTTCACAGAGTGGTTGTCTGAGTTGGTTAAATAGAAAGATATCTTTTTCATAATCATCATTAAGTCTTTTACCTTCACAAGGAGCAAAGGGTGCTTAAGATTTTAGCTGTACTACCAGATTTAGCTGCATGAATTTGGTACCTCTGAAATGTATTGTCGTGTAACGTTAGCTCAGTAGGTATGTAGATGTAGAGCAATTTGTCTATATTGATTTCAGAGAGATTTAGAAGATGCTAGACTTGAAGTAATCCATTGTATTCCGAAAGTTAAACTTTTTTGTTGGTAAGCTTCCTGATAATGTGTAGGCGTCATCATTGACCATTAAAACTGACTCATGTGTTCTCACTCCTATTATTAGATTTCAATGTGCCCACGTAAGTTCACTGTATAACACAAGAACCAATGCAAGTGTTTTTGTCTAACACGTAAGCTGATACGATTATTCAGATGTGGTACAAAGAGCCAAAGTCAGTTAGGTTTCAGAGCCAGATGTCTTTACTTGCTGTGTGCAATACAAAGCACAACTTTTTTTGGCAAAGGAGTTCTGTTATCCACCCCGCCTTAGTATATATTATAAATTTTATCACTGTCCTTTGTACTAATATTCATTTGTGAAAGTTATATTTAAATGCAACCAAATATATATTATAATATATATTATATTATATTACAATATTTGTTTATAATACTAATACATTTATAAGAATAAAATATTTGAAATAAAAGTAAAATAAATTTATAAATTTAATAAAATATAAATTTAATTAAGGTAATAAAAATTTTTGTTGTTGTAGTTCACTACTGTTAGAAGCCTCTTTATTAAATAGATTCTATAGATTCTATTTAATAAAATACTCACTACTGTCATAAGTGGTGTTGAAATATGAATTTTTCCTCATACAATTTTGCAGCTAATACCAACCTTCTTTCGGGTTGCCAAAGATCCAGTGATCACAGTGATTTACTTGATTTATATTGCTGGAAAATGTGTGTCTATTATGTATCTAAGCTGGAAAACATCTCTGGAGTCCAAACGCACCGGCATATGCCTGCACAGATGTGCTGTGGTGGTGGACAAAAACGAAATGTATGAAATTGTAAGATATCAGATTTCTTTGTAATATTTAAATTCAGATCTAAAATTCAACATCTTTTAAAAAACATCTATTAAAGGTTAATCATTTGTCATTGAAGCTTTTGAACCATGCAGTCGACTTTTCTGCCTGTGGTTTTTTTACGCTGAATATGCGAACTCTATACGCAGTTTGTATTTTTTTTTTAATTAAAACTCAGTTAATGTAAAAGGCTTTTTACAGATAATCGGTGGTATAAGCAGTTATCTGGTAATACTCATTCAATTCAACATTGCTGGAGAGCAAATCAAGAAACCCTATATATCACCTGTGCCTAAGGAATTCTTTGGATTTGAAAACGTCACCTATCCAGCCGATTAAGTGCGATCACATTCCATATGAAATGTCCTACGATTGTTCTGATAACTCAGATATTATCAGATGTCAGTTTTCTGCAGTAAATTCATGTTAATGTTGTTTCATGGACTAAATGTTGTTTGCAACTTTTTTGAATAATAAAAAAAATGCACAAATCTTATTAAAATCATAAATTTTATTTCTTTGTTGCTACAAAATATAAATGTTTGAATAAAATTTAATAAAATAAAAATATGTTTTGCGTTTTAGATAAATTTGTGATGACCAAAAAATATGTACTAAAAATTATCATCGGCTGCTCCTAAAAGTATGCGCGAATAATATTTTGAAAAGATTTTTTTGGACGCGATACTGTGATTTATTAAAGTTGAATATTTGGACAAATTCGAACCTTAATTAGCCAAATTAGGTCGAAGCAGAATGCGAAAATAATGTTCCACTAATTGCTTTTCAAACCACCAAACATGGAGCAGTATTGTTTGTGCTCTCATGGTACTTTTTTGGAAGCAGGTAATGAATATTTAACAAATATAGTAAAGAGATACAGCTTCTTCTTCTGTCAGCCTCATCTCGCAGTAGAGCATAGGACCTTGACCATTCTCTTTTAGCGAACTCTATTACGCGACTCACGGCTGATGTTATTTCAGGAGTAATTTGCCGCTTCCATTTCTAAGTGTATTGATCTTTTCCATGTTCTTGCTGGTGTACCACGACACGTCGACCTATACCTTGAGGATTCCATCGAAGTCTTTGACTAGCGATGTTTTCGTTCCGCCTGCAGAGCATATACCCAATCGAATGCCATTTTCGTTTGCAGATTTCAACAGGCGCGGTGATCTGATTGGTAGTATATTAAGTATATTGTAATCGTATTGTTCATGAAGGCAACCGGCAACAAGAATTTTACTACAGCACTTCTTTTGAAAATAATATGATCTAAGTGAACATTGAGGTAAATATATACTCGGAAAGCAACATCCTAGCGGAATTCATTTACGGCTCTCTGGAAAGCTTACTGAGCTAGCATATGCAGATGATGATGGTTCTGCTAGCTAGCATCTATAATGACATGCAAACTAAACTTAACGCCTTAGCAAGTACAGAAAACAATATCAGGAAAACGAAATGTATGCGAATCAAAACAGATAATCAAATTGCACTTTATGTTGAGGATATACCGATCGAAGATGTTTTTGAATTTGAATACCTAGGTAGTAACATTGAAAACGGAATACGCAAAGCAAGAGCATCCTTCAGCAAACTTACTCGGATCTGGAGATGTCGCACTCTAAATCAAAGCACTAAAATTGCAATATTTAACGCTTGTGTTAAACCAGTACGGTTGTATGGTAGTGAAACATGGCACTTTACGCAAGCATCTATCCAAAAACTGTAAAGCTTCATCAACAGATGTCTTCGGCTAATTTTTCGGCAAGTTGATGTCGTCATTATCAGTAATTTTTCTCTGGGAAATACTCGTAGTACCTAGGCAGTACAATTTCAGTTTGATAAATGTTACCCGGACTCTGCGCCATTGGTTGTTTTATGAACCAATGCTTACAAAGTGGAAAGATGGTGTAAAAGAACTCCAGCATTGATAGAGAAACTTGGATTAGAATTCTCTCGTAAGGGCTTTTTCGTTTGGTTCTGAGTTCAGAATGATATATATTGCTGCAGACTTCTCGAGTTATTTGCGTTAGTGTGAACGTACTGTTGTCAAAATTTTTGAAGCTAAAATTAAAATCATTTTAATTAGATTTGAAAAGAAAATCATACGAGTTTGATTTGGAATTTCGAATTCCAACTAAAATCTTGAATGAAAAATTCTTAACAAAGTTGTCGTGTGCTTTTATGTAGCAAACTAAACCATTCCTCATTTTATTTATTTATTTTTTATTGTAGATGTTGTATCAAGTCGGAAAACTGTTAGAAAAAATAATATTTTGGATCTTAAGTCACATCAAATAGTTAAAGATGTTCAGAATCAGCGAAGAGGGCTTTGATAAAAAAGCCTTTTTGGAATATGCGAAGGCTAAGGAGGTGGAATACAACAAATTGCAGCATGCGTTGATAAAGACGCTTGCTATAAGAACCCGCACCCGAAAGCAGATTATTTTTGAGAAAAGGATCAAAGCTGAACTGAAGAAGTTGCGTGCGCAAATAAAAGAATTACGTGCTCAAATATGGGTTGCCAGTAACAAAGCTTATAAAAAGGAAGATGAGAAAAAGGTGGCAGAGATGAAATGCCATGCTTTCTGCTACGTTGAGTTGACTAAGGAGGTAAAGGAACTTAATACTACAGTACATAAGTTCGAAACTGAAATTGCTCGCGTTAAAGGTGAAATGCTTGAACTAAATAAAAAGATTGTACCCGATGAGCAGTTTCAGGTCACAATCGCCAAATATAAGAAGCTTCAAGAGACGTTGGAAAATAAGCTTGATACAAATATACGTCGTGAAGGTGCTGTTGCGGCCGACAATGCACGTTTGAGGGGAGAGATAATCCGATTGCTCCGTGACAAAACTTACTTCAACGAACAATACACAAAATTAGTGGAACGTCTAAATAGTAATAAGAAGTACCTGATTGATCTGGTTGATTATGCTCTCAACAGCTTCACTCAATGTATGACAATTTACGATAAAATGGACAGCTTAGTGATGCAACGAGATAAGGACTTTGCTGCACGTAAAGTGGAAATGCAAAATCTGTTACGCATAAAAGAAGGCAAGGATTTTAAAATGCAGTTCTTAACAGGTAAGGCTAAAGAGCGCATTTTGGCTGATCTTCAACCAAAGGAATATCGACGACGGGCGGCATTCCGTGCATTTCATCAAAAGGAAATTGCAGAATGCAAGGATATTCTGGCTAGAGCTATGAGACTGACTCAAACCTCAAATGTGGACCAGTTAATCACCAAATACCATCACGAGGAGGGGCTTTATTATTCTTATTTTAAATATGCCAATGAAATGAACTACCGAATGACTTCACTCAACAATTC